GGACACAATGGACCAGCTAGACCTAATTGACATCTATAGGACGTTTCACCCCAAAACAATCAACTTCACCTTTTTCTCAAGTGCACACGGAACCTTCTCCAGAATAGATCACATCCTGGGCCATAAATCTAGTCTTGGTAAATTCAAAAAGACTGAAATCATTCCAGTCATCTTTTCTGACCACAGTGCAGTAAGATTAGATCTCAATTACAGGAAAAAAATTATTAAAAATTCAAACATATGGAGGCTAAATAACACGCTTTTGAACTGTGGTGTTGGAGAAGACTCTTGAGAGTCCCTTGGACTGCAGGGAGAGCCAACCAGTCCATCCTAAAGGAAATCAGTCCTCAGTGTTCATTGGAAGGACTGATGTTGAAGCTGAAACTCCAATATTTTGGCCACCTGATGTGAAGAGATGCCTCACCTGAAAAGACCCTGATGCTGGGAAAGATTGAGGGCAAGAGAAGAAGGACAGAGGATGAGATGGTTGGATGGCATCACCAACTCAATGGACATGGGTTCGGGTAAACTCAAGGAGTTGGTAATGTACAAGGAGATCTGGCGTGCTGCAGTTCATGGGGTCGCAAAGAGTCAGATACGACTGAGCGACTGAACTAACTAACTAAAGTGATACTTCATAAAAAAGTATAACTTTGAATATTTTTAGTAAAATGAACTAAAGAGATAACAAAGAAGATAAAAATTAACAGGAAGCTCTTTAAAAATGAAAAAAAGGAATGATATTAATAAATGCAGAGATTAAAGGATTAGTGAAGGAAAACACTAGGACTTTGTCTATGCATCATCCATACTGGTGATTTTTTAGTTTCCTTTTTCTGCCTCTGGGCATTTTCATAAGTTGTTTCCTCAAACTGCAATAATACCTGTCTCTTCATCTAAATAACACTTACTAAATCTTTAGAGATCTCAGTTTATTTCTTCAGAGAGGTCTCTTTGACACTTATGTGGGTTAAATCCTTCTTGTATATGCATCCATGGCTCAGACAGTAAAGAATCTGCCTGCAATGCAGGAGACCTGGGTTAGATCCCTGGGTTTGGGAAGAGCCCCTCAAGAAGGAAATGGCAACTCGCTCCAGTACTCTTACCTGGAGAATTCCATGGACAGAGGAGCCTGGCCAGCTGACCTGACTCCTGTCCATGGAGTCACAAAGAGTCACACACGACGGAGTGACTGACACTTTCACTTTCATATGCATCCACACTCCCTAATTTCTTATTACACACTATTTGTTCATTGCTAGATTATAAGCATTACAAAGGCATGGACCATATCTAGCCATCTCAACACTGAATCTCTAGTGCCCAATATAGTGATCTTCATATAATGAGAGCTTGAACATTTGTGTTAAATGAAAGCATAAGTAAATAACTGAATAAAAGAAGTCTTGGGAGAAAATACAATCAAGTATACAATTTTCCAAAAATTTTAATTCATGAATAAAAAAGAACTACAAATACACAAAATTAAGAATGGGAAAAGGAAAGAACAGATATTAAGGAGATTTTAAAGAGCCATACAGGCATCAAGGAAACCTCTCTGAAGAAATGTTTTAACTGAGACCTCTAAAGATTTGGTAAGTGTTATTTAGGCGAAAAGAAGAGGCAGTTTGAGGAAATGGTTTATGATAGTGCCCTGAGGCAGAAAAAGGAACAAAAACAACAACAAAAAAACAGATTACTGTGGATAAAAAAGTCCTCTTTGGTGCACTACAGACATTTACTTTAAACTCAATAGCAAAGCAAGAAAGCCTATTAGAAACAGTTATTAAACACTGACTAAAAATGTCCACCCAGTACAATAAATAAGAAACCAAAATATAATACATAGCTATTGTACACAAAGGGTCAAAATTATTTTTATTTTCAAATGATACTCTTATCCAATTAAAAAATAGAAGGGAAGAAATGTAAAAAGAAACGATTAAAACTAATAAGATAGTTTGTACGACATCTGGTTTCAAAAAAATATGCACATGGTTTCATGTTAGTCTCATCTTACTGACAGAGATGCTATTAGCCAGGATTGCTTGGGCCATGGTAGTATTTGCCACAGGCTTGCCCTGCCCGCAACACTTTTCCCCACCAGAGCCAATGCTGTGCCTAGACCTGCCTTGTGGTTCTTATTATAACTGTAAGATACACCCCAGCAACAGCAATCAGGGAACTTTGAAAAGACAAGGTTTATTACTCACAGTTCTTGGAGAGTACATGGCACACACCTGAGGATCCACACAAGGAAGCTGTGGGTAGAAAGAGAGGGAGAAAGTGTACATCTGGGATTCTGCCTTCATTGGGGTTGAGGATGGGTTCTCTAGTGGTTTATGGGTTGACTGTTCATAAGATTTATAACATAAGAGCAGGAATTAGGGTGCAGAAAGGGAAAAGTGGTGACATTGTTTTGCTAGCAGCTGTGTTATACAGCTGACAGTAAGTTGATTCGAGGTGATGCCTTTGAAATGGATACCATAACAATCAAAAGTTCAATGTCAGGAGGTTACATTACAAAAAAAAAAAAAAAACAAAAAACCTTATTGTCAGGCACTTACACTACACATTTATAGTAAAATACTAATATTTAAAAGAAGCTATGTATCTGGGGACTTCCCTGGTGGTAGAGTGGATGACCCCTGGTGCAGGAAGATCCCACATGCTGCAGAGCAGCTAAGCCCACGCACCCTAACGACTGAGCCCTAGAGCCTGCGAGCTGCAGCTACTGAAGCCAGTGCACTTAGAGCCTGTGCTCTGCAAGGAGAGAAGCCATCGCAATGAGAACATCACCGCATTACAATGAAGAGTAGCCCCTACTCACCGCAGCTAGAGAAAGTTCACAAGCAGTGAGACCAGTCCACCAGACTCAGTGCAACCAAAAATAATGAATAATTTTAAAAAAAGAAGATATGTAAATGCTCATGAGTATCTCTGAGTGGTAGAATTACAGATGATTTTCCTTTTCTTTATACATTTCCTTTGATAGAAACTAATAAGTTATAAATGTATAACATAATTATAAATGTACCTACTTGCCAAAAAGAGCCTATATAATTATATTGATAAATGTCAGTTATTATACAATATAAAATAGCCTCAAATTTCAATATAATTTTGTTTTCCTCCAAAATGAACAATCCCTCTCTCCAATAATTGGAAACGTACTTACTTCATCTCTACCTATATAAGCAGAACCTTTCAGTGGCACTTGCCTGGCTTCATCTTCTATTCTTTAATTTAATTTTCAGTTTGGAGAAACATGTCAATCATGAGAGTTACCTGAGAAAAAAGCAAATAACCAAGTTTAAGTCAACAGCCTTAGCACTATGTATAATAAGTTAGGGGTCTTCCACTATTTTAAAGTACTTCAGCTTTACAAATGGCTCTCTTTTCCTTCTTTGATACTCAAAGACCTGTTGTCACTGCACATTTGTATTTTGCATTGATCAGATTATCAACAGTCAGACAAGAAAGAAAGAAAAGAAAGAGAGACAGAGGAATAAAAGAAGGAAGAAAAAGATATTTATGAACAATATCAAATGAATGATGATACCTTAAAGAATGAAAATTTAAATTACACATTTCCTTCAACTTACTGAAGTTTAAATTCTATACGATGCATGTTCAAACTGAAGATTCATATATTAAGATAGAACAAAGAGGCAAAATAATAATTCAAATAGAGGGATAACAGTCTTAAAGACATTTTAACACTTAAAATCAATTGTTACTAACACAGGAACACAGAGGCTATAAAAAAAGTTCTGATCCCCAAAGTAATTCTTAGCAACTGCCAGTATTTCCAAGTTATTCAGCTTTATTGCAAAAAACTGTACTTGGATATTGTCTAAGCTTGTTACAGACAGATCTTTATTAAATTATTAATAAGTATCATATACTTTTCTTTTTGGAGAATTGAAGGGAAAAGGATAATATAGGAAATATTCACTGAAAAGTTTGGGGATTTTTACAAAACTCTAGCCAAAAACATTGTTCATTATATTTTAAAAGAGTATTATGACATATGAATTATATCTGAATTTAAAAAAACATAATGTTTTTTAAGCATTATGCTACTTATTGTCCATTATCAAAAGGAGCCACATGAAAGTGGCTTAACAAAAGATCTGGAAACTTTAATTCCTAATAATCTAAGACTGTGAAAATAACATTAGCATAACCTAAGAATGGATCATTAATTTGTCCCTTAGATTTTTCTCTTTTAAACATCAGCTCTCAACTGACAACTGGTTAAATGCTGGATCCCAATAATCTCATGTTTGAATTCTCTAAAATGCTAATTTATTAATAAATGCTTGATATAAATCACAGAAATAGGGGGTGACTTGAGCAAGATGGTAGACTAGGAAGCTTCAAGATTTTCCTTCCCACACTGACAAAGAATTAACAACAATACATGGATCAATTCTTTTTACGAGAAAACAAACAAACAAACAAAAAACAGTTAAGAGGCTCCTGCAACAAAGGAAAGCTTGAAAACAGTTGTATCAAATTGAGTAAGAAAATCCATGGCACCCACTCTCCAGAGCCCCTCTGCCCCAGGCACAGCAACATCAGGAGGAAATTCCCAACCCCCAGCTTTTCTAGGGGAGGGGAAAAGTTGGAGGCTGTGTCCAGCATTCTGACTTTCCAGAGGCTGCCCAAAAGATGTTTCTGTCTGGTCTGTCTCAGAGGGCATACTTCCAATCTCATTCTATGAGGTCTACATTACCCTGACACCAAAGCCAAACAAAGACAAGAAATAAGACTACAGGCCAGCATCTCTGATGAATGTAGATGTAAAAATCCTCAACAAAACACTATCAAACTGAGTCCACAGCACATTGAAAGGATTATACACTATGACCAAGTGGGACTTATCCCTGGGATAGAATGATGTTTCAACATTAAAAAATATATATATATGATTTACTGCATAAATAGAACAAAGTACAAAGTCACATGGTCATATTTGACAAAAGTTACATTTCATGATAAAAACATTCAACAAACTGGAAATTAAAAAATTAATTCAACATCATAAAAATTCTATATGATAAACCCATAGTTAAGATCATAATCAATGGTACAAAACTGAAAGCTTTTCCTCTAAAATCAGGAACAAGGCAAAAATGCTTGTTTATAACTGTTATTCAACATAGTGCTATATAGTCCTAGCTAGAGCAATTAGGAAAAGAAAAGAAAAGGCATCACAATTATAAAAGAAGAAGTAAAATTATCTCTGCTTACAGATAACATAATCTTATACATAGAAAACCCTAAAAGATTCCATAAAAGAAAAAATTAGAAATAATAAAGTCAGTAAAGCTGATGGATACAAAATCAATATACAAAAATCAACAGTATTTTCATATATTAACAGTAAAAAATCTGAAAAGGAAATTAAGAAAACAATCTCATTTAAATATATCATGAAAAAGAAGAAAATACTTAGGAATTAATTTAATCAAGAAGATGAAAGACCTGTACACTGAAAACTATAATACGCTGCTGAAAGAAATTTAAAATGACACAAATAAATGAAAAGACATCTTATGTTCATGGATTGGAAGACCTAATATTGTTAAAATGTCCATACCAACAGAAGCAATCTACTGCTTCAATGCAATCCCTTATCAAATGCCAATTCTAGACTTCCCTGGTGGTCCAGTGGTTAAGAATCTACCTGCTAATGCAGGGGATATGGGCTCAGTCCCTGGTTTAGGAAGATCCCACATGCCACAGGTCAATTAAGCCCAAGCACCACAACCACTGATCCTGAGTACCACAACTACAGAAGCCCATTTGCCGGAGTCTGCGCTCCACAACAAGAAAAGCCACCACGATGAGAAGCCTACATCTGGAAAGTAGCCCCCACTCACTGCAGCATGCAGCAATGAAGACACAGCACAGCCAAAAAACTAAATAAAACAAAAGTTACTATCTTAATATATCAAAAATATATAATGTATAGAAAACAAAATGAAGACATAGCACAGCCAAAAATAAATAAATAAAAGTTACTATCTTTATATATGTGTGTGTGTATATATATATATATATATATATATATATATAAAATGGGCTTCCCTGGCGACTCAGACAGTAAAGAATCTGCCTGCTTCCATCCCTGGGTCAGGAAGAGCCCCTGGAGAAGGGAAAGGCTACCCACTCCAGTATTCTTGCCTGGAGAATTCCATGGACAGAGGACCCAGGTAGGCTACAGTTCTTAGGATCACAAAGAGTTGGACATGACTGAGCACTCATACACGCACATACTATACATCATACACATGATAGAATAGTATTCAGTCATTAAAAGAATGAAATGTTTCCATTTGCCACAGTGTGGATGAACCTAGACGGTATTAGTCTAAGTGAAATAAGTCAGGAAGAAAAAGACATACTGTATGTTTTCACTTACATGTGGATTCTAAAAAAACAAAACAAATAAACAAACATAACAAAACAGAAAGAGTTACAGATACAGAACAGACAGGTTGCTGCCAGCAGGGGAGAAGGAAAGAAATAGGAAAGGAAGATTAAGAGGTACAAACTTCTAGCTGCAAAATAAATGAGTCATGGGTATGAAATATACAGTATGGGGAATATAATCAATAACTATGTTGTATATGTCTATGGCAATAGATCAAAACTAGATTTATTGTGGTGATCATTTTGAAACATACTGAAATACTGAATCATCATTTTGTGTAACATGAGCTAGCATAGTGTTGTGGGTCAATTATACTTCAAAAACAAACTAGAAAAAATAACCAGATTTGTAATTGCTAGAGGCAGCAGGCAGGAGAAGGAGGCAATGGATGAAGGCAGTCAAAAGGTACAAACTTTCAGTTATAAGATAAATAAGTAAGAACAAACTTTCAGTTATAAGATAGTTCAGTTCAGTCGCTCAGTCATGTCCAACTCTTTGTGACCCCATGAATTGCAGCACGCCAGGCCTCCCTGTCCATCACCAACTCCTGGAGTCCACCCAAACCCATGTCCATCGTGTCGGTGATGCCATCCAACCATCTCATCCTCTGTCATCGCCTTCTCCTCCTGCTCTCAATCTTTCCCAGCATCAGGGTCTTTTCAAATGAGTCAGCTCTTCACATCAGGTTGCCAAAATATTGGAGTTTCAGCTTCAACATCAGTCCTTCCAATGAACACCCAGGACTGATCTCCTTTAGGATGGACTGGTTGGCTCTCCCTGCAGTCCAAGGGACTCTCCAGAGTCTTCTCCAACACCACAGTTCAAAAGCATCAATTCTTCAGCACTCAATTTTCTTTATAGTCCAACTCTCATATCCATACATGACCACTGGAAAAACCATGGCCTTGACTAGATGGACCTTTACTGACAAAATAATGTCTCTGCTTTTTAATATGCTGTCTATGTTGGCCATAACTTTCCTTCCAAGGAGTAAGCATCTTTAAATTTCATGGCTGCAATCACCATCTGCAGTGATTTTGGAGCCCCCAAAAATAAAATCAGCCACTATTTCCACTGTTTCCCCATCTGTTTGCCATTAAGTGATGGGACCAGATGCCATGATCTTAGTTTTCTGAATGTTGAGCTTTAAGCCAACTTTTTCACTCTCCTCTTTCACTTTCATCAAGAGGCTCTTTAGTTCTTCTTCGCTTTCTGCCATAAGGGTCTTGCCATCTGCATATCTGAGGTTATTGATATTTCTCCCGGCAATCTTGATTCCAGCTTGTGCTTCATTCAGCCTAGCGTTTCTCATGATGTACTCTGAATATAAGTTAAATAAGCAGGGTGACAATATACAGCCTTCATATACTCCTTTTCCTATTTGGAACCAGTCTGTTGTTCCATGACCAGTTCTAACTGTTGCTTCCTGACCTGAATACAGGTTTCTCAAGAGGCAGGTCAGGTGGTCTAGTATTCCCATCTGTTTCAGAATTTTCCACAATTTATTGTGATCTACACAGTCAAAGGCTTTGGCATAGTCAGTAAAATAAGTTCTAGGAAAACAAACAAACTTAAAAAGACACAGAAATGGCAGAGGTGACATTCCATTGCAGAAGTTGAAGATAAAACCCTTACTTATATTCTTAGGAATGTAAGCTCATGTGATTTCCACCCAAAAATGTAAAGTCTGGAGTTTAGTGTACTTTTGATTTTAATGTACTATTAAATACGTTAATTAGATTAGATATGTTCATCTGAAAGAGCCTTGCATAGCTGATCAGAAGAATGACAGATAAGAATCTGGTGGTAGGACCCTGGCTTGATCCCTGGTTTGGGGCTCAGACAGTGAAGAATCTGCCTACAAAGCAGAAGACCTGGATTCATGCCCTTCCACTGCAGGGGGCACCTATGACTTACTTGCAAAACTTATTTCTGGTGAAACTGTTTAGCAGGCCAAGTCTGTCCTTGGCACCTCTCCTTAGTCACCTCTTGGCTACCCAGTACTGTTGTGTTACATTCTCTGTACTTTGCCAGTTGTTAATCTATAGTTCTAAGATTTTCTAGATAAGCTTCCCAGGTGACAAAATACAGCTGCCTTGAGCCCAGCCAGATTAAAGGTTTGGCATCTAATAACAATGAGTTTACTTAAGGATTAATGAGTGATAACAGTTTCAAGTCCAAGCCCTCTAGATAACATCTGACCCTGAAGTGTACAAATCGAAAGGAAAAACAGAGTAGGAGTTTTAGGCAGCATTTGAGATCTATGAGCTTTTGGCCTACTCACAACACAGAGAGGTCAACTTACAATCTAAGTCTAGGGTACTATGAAAACAGTAAGATATTTATTGGAAACTCACAAGTTTTTAATCATTAGTGCATAACATATGGAACATTTTTCTTTAAATCGGGACATTTATAAAAGCTGCTGAACATATTTTCAGTGTCATTGACTTCTAATGATTCTATTGAGGGATTTTCCATGAAAATGAGAACATATAAGCTATACTCTGGCACAGATGTTATACTCAAGTCTGAAGGCAGCCGAGCACAGAGACAAAGGATATGGACTGTGGACTCATTTTTGGTTCAAATCATTGCTACTCAGTAACTACACAACTCTGGCAAGTAGCTTAACCAATCTAAATCAAAGGTTCTTCTACCTTAAAATAGAGATTAAATAATAAGAGAACTAGGAAGATTAAATGGGAAAATGCATGTAAAGCACTTGTATAGTCTAAGTACATAAGAACTCAATAAATACTATTTATTAATATTACTATTAATCAGCAGATTGTGCACTGAACCTGTTTTTGATGTTTACCATTAATAGTGGCTATAATGAAACATCTTTTTAAACTAATTCAGCATCAATTTTGACTTAATATGTCTGGTTATTACATTCAAAATGAAAATGATTTTACTACTTTTTTATTATAAAAAACATAATCAGACATTCAAACCATAAACAAAATTATAAAGGAAAACATCACTCAAAATTTATACATGCAGAGATATACATTATTCCTTCCTTAGTCACTAAGTTGTGCCCAACTCTTTTGTGACCCCATAGACTATAGCTTGCCAGGCTCCTCTGTTCATGGAATTCTCCAGGCAAGAATACTGGAGTGGGTCGATATTCCCTTCTTCAGGGAATCTTCCTGACCCATTACTCCTTTAATAATAACACTTTTTTACAAAGCAGGATTAATCTACCAACTGTTTATTGATATTTTTTTGATATATAACTGCAGAGCTCTTGATTCTTGACTTCTGTTCATGAATCTGCCATGAAAATGGAAAGGAAGTTCTCTTTTTTGGAGAAGCAGGAGAAAGAAGAAGTGAAGCCTCTATTCCCATCCTGAAAGTGAAAAATTATTAGTTGCTCAGTCATGTCCGACTCTTTGCCACCCCATGGACTGTAACCTGCCAGGCTCCTCTGTCCTAGGGATTTTCCAGGTAAGAATACTGAAATAGGTAGCCATTCCCTTCTTCAGGGGATCCTCCTGAGCCAGGGATCGAATCCATGTCTCCTGTGTTGCAGGCAGATTCTTTATCATCTGAGTCACCAGAGAAGTCCATTCCCATCCTGCCTGGGTTCAAATCCCAGATTCACTACATACTAGACATAACATCTTGAGTAAGTCACTTAAGTGCTACATCTCAGCTTCCTTATCTGTGAAATGCAGTTACTGGAAGGCTTAAAGGAGTTACTATAAACAGTATTTAAAATAGCACCTAATACATAGTAAGAAGAACGTAAAAGTTAACTATTATATATGGTCCTACAAAGGTACCTGAGATATATTGTTGTATAAATAAAAATCAGCTCATAGAACCAGTTATACATAATATTTCCCATATTAAAAAACAAAGTATATAATAATACATCTATTTATATACATAAGCATAAAAACATTTAAACAGCTCCATATAAAACTGCTAATATGTTTATCTTGAGGGACTTTCACTGGCTCTATAATGTTTTAGTTTTTAGTTAATACAATCTTTATGTGTAGTATCACCAACAAATCAAAATAGTTCAGTTAAAAATGTATTTTTTGAAGTAGGAAAAAGAAGAAAAAGAAAGTAGAGGAAAACAACAAAACTCTTGGTTTTTAGAAAGATGATAACAGTTATTAGGTTTTTATGCTAAAGAGAGTTTGGATTTTACAAAATACAGTAGTAGTGGAAGTATATTATAATAGTAAGCCTAAAGTTATAATTTCCTTCACTAAAGAGACATCATTTGTGTTATGTAAAGAAAAATATGCAAAAGAAAAAGAAAACACTTAAATATCCTTAAAATTGTTAATAAATACACCCAAAGTTGTTGAATTCAACAGAAAAGTGAAGCATTAACTACTAAATAGTGACAAAACAATCTTAACATATTTCTGCTTTACTGAGACAAGGAGGCCAAAATATACCTGAAGTACTCTTAATGCTCCCCACTGTATATATTCTACATAGTATATAGAGGAATGATCTCTATAAACTTATAATTCTAAAACGAAGTTTCCAAATTTTGTTTAATATTGTATGACATCTTTTCTCTCTGAGAATACAGAACCTATTGGCAGATCTCTTAATCTATTTTAGCCTTAGTTTCCTCAGTTATAAAATAGGGGAAAATATTCCATGAAGATTAAGTGAGAATATGCAGTCCTCATGCAGAACATGAGAACAATAGTACTGAACTTTTTCATTCTATCACTGTCTGTTATATTATAGCCTAAAAATAATAATCAATATGATCATTAATACTATTTTGTATCATGTGTAGATGTGGGTTTTAGCACTTGATAAACCTACTATTAGCTTGAAGTGAATTCTTAGAAAGTTAAAAATATCATATCTTACCTCTCCCTCATGCCATTTCTGTCCAATATGTCTTTCTCAAAGGTCATCAGTTACATTTAATATCCCAAATTTCTGACCTGTACTGATGACAGATCTCCATCTATTGTGATGTCATCCAGTACTTGATGGTACTATTTCACATGATTTTTTTTTCTGGCTACAGTTTAAAGGGCACTTCCTGTTTGTGAAGTAAAGCCTACCATATTATCAAAATATGTAACTGAAGAGTTACAGTATGACTTCCTGTGATTTTATTTCTATATCATTGCCTTAAATAGCAATGAGTAAATCTTCTAAATTATGTTGTAAGACTTCTTGCCCACGAAGCAATATATTCTGTAGTCTCATTGACAGAACTCTTAAAAGACCATCCTTGCAGTTTTTGCGTCAGTGGGGATACCACTGCTATGAGCCCAGGATTTATAGAACACTGGCAAGAATTCTGAAGTACGTCGACTTGGAAGGATTTGACATACTACTCTCAGATTATATTGCATTTGTGGAAAAATCAGGATACCGTTTCGAACTAAATGTTAACTTTGAATTTAATGAAATATGTGTGAATACAATTCTGTACTGGGTTTTCGCCAGAAAAGGTAATCCTGACTTTGTGGATCTGCTTCTCAAGAAGACAAAAGACTATGTTCAAGACAGAAGTTGTGAACTGGCACTGATATGGAGGTAATAATCTCCTATGTTTTCAACATAAAAGGAGAAAATTTCTCTTTAAGGGATCATACTACTCCTTTTTCTCTAAAATGTATATGCATAGTGACTATATAAGGAATCCTGACTTGATTATCCATTCATTTGTTCATTTCTTCATTATTTATTCAATAGAACTTTGCCTATATGTACATTATTATGTGTCAATAAATTACTAGTGGTTTGCTCTATAGAGCTTACATGTTAGTGCTCAAGATAATGCAATGTTAGACAACCTAGATTTCTGTAACTAGTCAAAGACATTGCTTTTGTAATGCTGTGCTCTCTTCTTTTTGAGAATACTGAGAATGTTTACCTATAATATCATGTATATAAACTGATTTCCAAAGTATAATTCAGAATATAAACACATATTCACTTAGTAATACTTATTAAACATAATAATTCTCTTTTTATGTTAATATCATTGGCAAATTTGACATCAAATCCCTGGCGTTGACTACAATGAAAGCCAAATACCGGATTCAATCTGCTATGGAATCACATTTTCACATAATCTAAACACGGCAATCTAGCTAATGAATACTACTGAGGACCTTATCAGAATAAAATATCTAACATGACCTCTTTGTAGTCTGTATATAGATTTTTAAAGTTACTTAGTTTGCACTAACTCCAATTTACTTTTTGGTTTTAAATATTTATTTGAATATCTAATGAACAGAATAGATGTGCATATGTTCACTCATTCAACAAAATACTTATCACCTTACTATATATGAGGCACTGTACTTAGCACAATGATAGAATTATGTATGTAATGAAAAATAAGATAAAACCAGTTTAAGACTAAACCAATTTCAATTCTGCCTGTAGCAGTGTTGTTTTCTTGATTGTGTATTATGTGAACCTATGTGGTGTTACAGAACCTCTAGATTACTTTCCTTAATAATAACCCAAGTACAAAAACTGAGAGCTGAATTCCGCAATATCAATAAATAAAACTCCAAAATAGCACTTTTCGGTTGTTTTAAGGGCCATTATACATGTAACTCGGAGAAGGCAATGGCACCCCACTCCAGTACTCTTGCCTGGAAAATCCCATGGATGGAGGAGCCTGGTAGGCTACAGTCCATGGGGTCGCTAAGAGTCGGACACGACTGAACGACTTCACCTTCATGGACACGACTGAACGACTTCACTTTCATTTTTCACTTTCATGCATTGCAGAAGGAAATGGCAACCTACTCCAGTGTTCTTGCCTGGAGAATCCCAGGGACGGGGGAGCCTGGGATGGGCTGCCGTCTAAGGGGTCACACAGAGTCAGACACAACTGAAGTGACTTAGCAGCAGCAGCACACATGTAACTATAGCAGAGATCAGCAGCTTCGGACAATGAGCATCACTAACTGGACTAAGTCATGCCATTGTGGATCCCTCACAGACCCATAGGAGAGAAAAACAAAATGACACAGAGGAAGAGAGGATTAAGCTTTTTACAAAGGTTAACGGGGGAGTGGAGGGGCAAGAAGGGAAAACTGAAAAGAAAGAACAGCAAATGAAAAAGAAACACACAGTGGGACATAAGAGTGTGCCATTAACAACTGTTTTGATAAATTGTTTTAATATATTTTGACTTAGATGCATCCTCAAGGTAAAACACATTACAGACCAATTCTATGTACCACAGATTTTTGGATATTTCAGTCAGAGAACTTTAAATTCAAATGGAACCTAAGAATTCATTAACAAACCTCCCCCAGCCCCTCTTCCCGGACAACTCCCATAATGTATCTCTGGTTGCTGCTCATCTGGTCTCTGCTTGAACAATGCTAGTAGTAGTGAGTTAACTATTTCCTGAGATAAACCATTCCTTTACCAGGGACCCTTCTCTGTCCTAGCTATGCACTGTCCTCTCAAAGATTTTACCCAGTCCCACGACTTTAAGTATGATCATTTGTCAATGACTCCTAAATCTTTATTTCCAGTCCTGACCTCTTCTCTGAGCCCCAGACTCCTCTTATATTATTAGCCTATCGGCTCAACATCAGAAATTTAACAGAAACAAAACAGAATGTCGATCTAAGTTACCCTCTGCCTGCCAACTTGCTCCTTCTCTTGAATTCTCCACTAGATTGACAGCCTCTGTTGCTCAGGTCAGGAATCTAGGACTTATTCTTGTTTCTCCTCTTTCTTTCACAACACATCAGCAAATCTTTTTATCTCTAAAACATATCCCAATATGCTATACTTTTCATCTCCTCTGTTCCTAACCTAGGTGAAGCCACCATTACTTCTTACCTAGATAACTCCAAAAGACTCCTACTAGAAATCTTCCAGCTTCCATTCTTCCTTCTTACAATCCATTCTTGAGGCAGCAGCCTGAGTGACCTTTTAAAAATGTAAGATAGGCCATACCACTCATGTTCAAAATCATCCAAAGTTTTCCCACTACCAGTAGAAAAAAATTCAAAATCAATATCCATTTTTAAAAATTCCCATACAATCTATCCCCAAATTCAACCTCCCAAAACTATTCTTATGTCACTCTTCCTTGAACACTATATTCCAACCATGTATTGGTTGTCCACTATATACTCTTGCTAAAAGTAAGCTCCAGGAGGAAATTCCCAGGTGGTCCAGTGGTTAAAACTCTGTGCTTCAAATGCAGGGGGTGCAAGTGTGATCCCTGGTTGAGGGACTAAGCTCCCACATGCCATGTGGTGTGGCAAAAAAAAAAAAAATGCTCCATGAAAGGAGGAAATTTGACTACTTCTTCAACAGTGAATCCTCAGTGCCTAGAACTATCCAGATACATAGCAAGTGGTTAATCAAGGTTGCATTAGATGAAAAGTGAATTTTTATACAGTATTATTAGATTCTTCTTTCTCATAATGCACTGAATTCTGTCTCCATTTCTCTAACTCTGCCCCCAGAAATATAAAGGACAGAGTCTACTCCTTCTGTCTCCTATATGAAAACCCCTCAGATATTTGAACATAGTTATTATGTCTCCAAAAAGAATATTTTAAGTTTCCTACTATCTTGTTGTTCTTTATTTCTATAACAGCATCACTCTTTGGTCACCTCCCCTTGTATACACTTCAGTTTAATAATTTCCCTAATACAATCATAAAGTGTATAAATAGGACCCTGGGGGAAAAAAAAGACAGAATTAGTGAGGGAAAGGAACTTAAAGTTTGTTCATTTTATTTTTGCTTATTTATTATAGCAAAAATAAATGCTACTGTATGACAGACTGTAAGTGGTTAAAGAGAGATAATATCATTCAGTTAAAATAATAGCAAGTATTTAGCATTTTCTAAGTACTAGGCATTGTGTTATTTGTTGGGGATACAAAAACAAAGTAGATATATTTCCTGATTTTGGAGAGCTCACAGACTAGTAAGCAGACCATGAAAATAATAATTACAGTATAAATTCAGAAACAGAAATATGTACAGGTAGAAAGAACATAGGACACTGTTAACACTATTGGGAAGGAGCGGATATCTAGAAGGCTCTTTAGAAGTGACGTCTTAAATTGATTTTTAAAAGATAAAAAGGAGTCTTCCCTGTCTTTCCCTTGAAGAAATGTAATCTAGGCAGAGAGAGGCTGACTAAAGCCTAGAGAGACACAAACACATTTTATCCATTGACTACAGGCAACTCAGCAACTGCTAAAGAATGAGATGGAAATCAAGTAATAGTGAGCAATAAGGCCTAAAAGTGAAACTATGAAAGATTTTGTAGGCCACACTAAGAAATCTACAATTTACACCACAGGTGATGCCCAGTCAGTGAAGATCGGGATTGTACTATGAAAAGATTAATCAACTTCCATCTGAAAACCGGACTGTGGGAAGGAAGGCTGCAGCTGGAGCTGACAGACCAGTTAGCAGACTGCTCAATCACTCTGTACAACAGCAGTTCCAGAATTTCTATGTAGAAAAGGTTGAGGGACACATCTGATTGAAAAGAGGGAGGTGGTTAGAGGAATTGCTTGGAGCTGAATTTGCACAGCATGCCCGGTATGCTAACTAAGATTATACATGTATTTATAATAATTTGGGAGGAGAACTAATTCTGCTCTACTACCACCACCCCACACACACAACCCCTCACCACCCTTTGTTATCACAACTGTCCAGGTAAATTATAATAGGGACTTAACTAAAACAATAGCAATGGGAAAAGAAGAGATATTACTAAACAGAATAGCCAGAATTACAGTAGGTGATCAGAAGTAGAGAATGAAAGAGGAAGAAGAGTTAATCTTCAGATTTATAAATTTTGAGACTGGTTGATGATTGTATTAGTTTCCTTTTGCTGCTGTAACAAACTACCACAAACTTAGCAGCTTAAAACAAGGTAAATTTATTATCTTATATTTCTGATGATCAAAAGTCCAAAA